CCGGGCCGCCCGCCCCGCTCCCCATTCCGGTTCCCCCCCAGCTCGCAGCACGACCCTTTACGTAACAAACACCCGCAGAATCCGGTTTTCAAAGCAGATTTTTATAGAAAGTACGCAGAACCCTTCGAGAACAAGCACCGCGGGCACCCTGCCCGCCGAAGGCAAGCGGTGAAACCTGCAGAGCCCCCCCTCCCCGGGGGGCCGGGCTGGGGGAGCGGGGGTCTCCCCGCGTTTTTAAGGGCAGAAAGCAGGGAGGGGGTGCCCACCCGGAGGCGGATCTTCTCCACGGCCTGCTGCCAGGCTGCCTGAGGGAAGAGGGTACCAACCGCGGGGCTGCGGGGAGGAAGACGCTCCGAGGGAGAGCGCGGGTGCTCATCGGGAGCGGCACAGCGCGGCTCACCCGGGGTGCCGGAGCAGCCGTCGCGCGGTGCCTACAGCACCCCACAACACCGGGGGCACCTTGTGAGTCGCGGTTCCGTGGAGCGAAGCACCCGAGCGCAGCACTGACGGGGCGGGGAGGCCCGAGCCAGCCCCGGCACCCCACGCCCAGGGGCAGCCCCCCCGCTCCCCCGTCCCCCAGCGGCCTCCTCTTCTTCACCTCCGCCTCCGGCTGCGGTTCTTCAGTTCCTCCAGCTCCTTCTCCATCAGGTGGGACTCGGCTGTGGTCTCGGAGAGCTGCAAGGGACAGCAAACATTGACAAGAGTGAGCTGCTGCTACTCCAGACTGATGTAAAGGCTGAATCACTGAACAGACTGCAAACGCGCATGGATTCTGTTTCACTCAGAACGTCTCTGGGTTTTAGGTGTGAAAGCTGTGATCCCTGGGTAAGGTGGAATTTCAGTTTATTTAGGGCTTGGGAATTCTTTCGTCCATAGGTTTGCACATAGAAGAGACGTCACACCGCTCGTCACAGCAGATGGAAACTTTAAATCTTCCGTGACCAGGCGGGGTGGCTGTAATGCCGTTTCACAGTTAGGGAAGAGGCCGGAGGGGCAAGAAGATGGCCGTACTCGCGCAGAAAGGGAGAGGGGAGACGCGGGGCTCGCGGGGGCTCCCATCTCATCAGTCACAGCGTTTGCAAAAGGCAAGCTCTGCTGCGGGGGGAACCTTCCCCTCTCCTCGCAGGCAGGGTCACACTTCACTCCCACGGTCGCTTTGCCCTTAAAGTTGTCTTGCACAGCAAGGTTAAAGGAGAAAGAGCGGGGCGCGGCACCATCGGCCTCCTTTGGCGATCCCAGCACCCTCCATTTGGGCATCTCCGCCGCTCTGGGCTGGTGGCCATTTGGCAAAGACTCACCATGTCCAGCAGAATATCCACTTTCAGCCGAAGGAGGTTGTTTTCTTCCTCTAGCTGCTGGTTTCGTTTGCGCAAGCGCTGCATTTCCCTGCGATCCCCCGTGAAGCTTCCTGATTCTGGAGGAAAAGAAAGAGGTCAAAACCGGCCTTGTCGGGCAACCGTGGCTACCTGGGAGCAAAGCGAGGCAAGCTGAACTCTACCTGCCACCCACTGGCCGTTTTCAAACTTGAGGCTCTGGCCAGCGAGGTTCATGGTGGGGGTGCCGTACTCCAGGCCCAGCTCAATCTCACGGGTCGATCTGTCCAGCTGCAGGGAGATCACACTCAGCCTTTCACAGAAATCCAAAGCTCTCCCGTTCCTCAGCGACCGGCGTTCCAACGGAAGCCGCTGGCCCGACCGGCCCTGGAGCCCGACACCCTGCTTTCAGTCGTGTGCTGCTGCAGGAGGGGACTGGCTCCTCTCACTGCCGGCGCCCGCGCTTTCTCCCGCCCAAACACACGCTCACCTCCCTGGGCTTGGAGACCAGCGGTGGGAAGCGTTAGGTGAAAGAACTGCGGGCCGCGGGTGGGGTGCATGGCGCTACCCCGAGCTATTCCGGTTTTACCTCCGGATCTGGTCAGGGAGCCGCTCCGCAGGAGGGAAGCGGCACCGTTGGGAGCTCCTGTCAGGGGGCACCCGCCCCTTTCTTGCCACCGAGCGA